AGGATCTGTCATCCTCTTAACTTTAAGCGTTGGTGAAGGTCTAGTGTTCTTCTCAGAAGAAGCTCTTTTGATATAAAACTGTGAGCACGAACACGTCTCCAAATCGACAATCTACAGTGAGCTGCTTTTTTCACTTCTTGTTGACAATTTATCTCGATTAGGTTCAGTTGAAAAGTGGGTCTTACTGTTGCAGTTTGATTTGTATTGATTTTTCTACTTTTTTTCCGAATCATTATTCAGACACAATTTATCTGACAAGAAATCTATAGATCTGTTGACCTGTACACTTCTATTATCATCAATCTATAGAATTGCCGATCTAAAGACCTGTACACTTCTATTACTATCAATCTATTGAATTGTTGACCTGTAGATCTGTGTATTCCTATACATGTATTACTATCAATCTATTGAATTGTAGACCTGTTTTCTCCTACATGTATTACTATCAATCTATTGAATTGTTAATCTGTATACTCGTATTACTATCAATCTATAAAACTGTTTACCTGTCGATCTGTTTCAATCTATTAAATTGTTGACCTGTAGACCCGTATACTCTTAATACTATCAATCTATTGAATTGTTGACCTGTAGACTCGTATACTCTTTATACTATCAATCTATTGAATTGTTGACCTGTAGACCCGTATACTCTTAATACTATCAATCTATTGAATTGTTGACCTGTAGACCCGTACACTCTTAATACTGTCGATCTATTGAATTGTTGACCTGTAGACCCGTATACTCTTAATACTATCAATCTATTGAATTATTGACCTGTAGACCCGTATACTCTTTTTGTTTTACAAATTGTTGACCCGTATATATTCCTTTTAACCTAAAGAACTGTCGACACGTATATATTTCAAAATATCAAAAAATCTCTGTTATCTACATGTATAAAGGAAGGAAATATGATAATTTTCTAAGGCTTGTGTCTGTGTCGTTTAACTACGTATGAATTTATTAAACACATGTATCATTCTGTTGTTTTGATTATAATTCAATAAATGAAAGATCACTTTATGTAGGTTATATTTAGAATGAAAAGTTCGTGTCACAATGCTGGTCTGATAGAAAAAAAAAGGATGGATCAAATATTGTTAGTATAGTTATTGTAAATTAATAGAAAACTATACTTGATTATTTAGTCATTAATAAAAGTTAGAAACATCGAATAGAAACTCAAATGAACATGATAGGTTCTCGAAAGAAAATACTACTATGTGTGCATGGAATCTCTCTCTCTCTCTGTATTGCTATAAAATACATTTCTATCTAGCTGTCTTACCGTTTTGATCATATATAGCTACATATAAATGTTAAAATAGATATCAATACACATATGTCTCTGTTGTGGACACAATGTTCAATGACTCAGGGGACACCAGGTGTTCTAGACTGAGTCATTTCAGGTGAGTCTTGCCAAGGCCATAGGTTTGATGCAGAGCTTGTGTTCTGGAAACAAGATTTTGGACTGCTGAAATATTTCGTTCTTCCTTCAGATATGTTGTCATATGGTAGATAAGAAAGCACATGTAATTATAAACGGGGGAAAATAGAAAATCAATATCACAATGCCTTGATCTGTAGATATAAATCACAATAATTTGTCTGTTTCTAATGTAAACGTTTGAGATGTACCAATCCTTCCACAAGATTAATCAACGATTATTAATGCGTTTTTTTTACGATGTAACCTGAACATATATCATTATAAATTATTGACGTATTGTGTATCTTTCAAGATGATTTCAGGGTTTATAAATTTCCATGTTAGGTCTTTCATGCTACTCTAAAAGCAACAATTAAGATGCATAAGCAACTTGAGTTAAAAGCGGGGGGGGGGGGATTAAAATCGTGAGTTTGGCTATATGTACTCATCAGTGAAATAGAAACGATGATTTAGAAGAAATTGCATATCTGTGTAAATGATGTAACATCCTCATAGCAGATATTCATACGTAGTAATTTTTGAGCAATCCAAAATGAGGAAAAATTTAGCACAGACTTCAACATATTTTTCCTTTACTTTGATACAAGACAAATATAGTAATGCTGATGTTTCTTTCATTGTTACTAGACAATAGGAGGGGCCACTCTACCCTCCATCATTCTGTTTTTTAGTAAAAAAGAGTTTGAAAGGGTTTAAATAGAAACACGACGCTTAATACCCCAAGAGAGGTTCAGGGGAGCCTTAGGCTTTGAAGTCCATTTTAGAAATCCAGCGCCAATACATTGTGAAAGACGAGACCTCCCGCTCTGTCTAACCGATAACCCCCCCCCCCCCAGCTTCAGCATATCCTATTTTTAAAGAATAAGTCCACATTAAAGATGATAGAAAGACTGGGATTTAAATCCGATCACCTGGCCTCTCCAGAGTCGCCACGTGCTTGACCCACTTTTTTGCACATGTGTCTGGACTCTGGGCAGTTTACCTGTCCATTAGGTCAATAAAGTACAATCTTGCTTATATCAAGGACGGTTCGCGTCAATGCGCACACTTTTCGTCCTTCTGAAGCTAACATGCCTGAAACAAGCCACAGCCAATTCATTCAGGAAACACGAATCCCATAGGCCACACTGCTCACCTGTGTAATTGCATTCCTGTTGGCCTTCTTCAGCAGATTTTCAACGATTTTTTCCTCTTTATTCCAATATTTTTTTTTTACCCATCCTAGCTTCAAGGTTTCAGGGTTACCAATCTTGAATCTACACATCACGGGGAAGCTTCAATATCAATGTTACAAACATGGTCTTTCTGTTCTAGAGAATTTTTTTTTTCGTGCATATATGCATGTTGTATAATTTGAAGCTGTCCTATGATTTCAACAAACTTATCTAACTTTCATATTAATATAACTAATCATTGCTCAAGAAAATCTGCACCAAAAAAGCTAAAAATTAAGTGAAACCTTCATTCATTTATGTGGAGAATTTTGGTTTAACTGAACATATTTTTTGCCAAAAATATATACAATGCGATTTGCCATAAGTCTAAAAAATCGATTAGCCCCCCCCCCCCCCCATTTTTTTTTTAAATTTATTGTCCCAAGGTGATCAAACAAACAAAAAATTTACAAAGGGTGGGCTATACAGAAACACAAAAAGCCTAGAAATCTTCACGTGAAAAATAGCGGTAATGTATACTTATAAATGTAGTAGTAATGTATACTTGTAAATGTAGTGGTAATGTATACTTTTTTGGTAGCGGTAATGAGTATGTAGCAATAATAACGATAAAATGTAGCGGTAATGTAATGCACATAAGGATTATTCGAAATTAACAATAAACATTTTTTAATTAAGGAAAAAATTCATTGTCATCACAAAGGATCTTTGTGCAAAACATCTGTCCTGAATCTAGTTCATTGACATTCACATAATAGGCTATCTTGAGAGAGGGTTTTTATAGAAGGTCTAACAAATAATGAAGAGACAGATAAGGCAAGACTTATTTAGCCAACTAATTATATGAATTTATTAATTCTTGAAAACTTTTATTTGTATAATACTTTCCATGTCACAGTTAAAATCTAATATTTCATTAACAAATTCTCTAATGACTTCCTAATTTTCATTTGTTAATTTTTTTTTAATTAAGCAACAATCCATCAAACATTACCGAAATATGGTAAATAGTCTTCTGAAAAGCGTTAATTTTCATTGGTAAATTGTTGAATTCACTGTTATGTGAGACACACTATCAGACAAAGCTTTATAAGCTGCATAAAAAATGTGTCAATCAGCCTTGCACAGTTTATTTCAATGGTAGAGACTCCCACAGGATAGAACACCTATCGATTTAAACTTGGGCTTAATTCAAGTTTTCTCATGCAAAGATCAGATAAAGTAATTGACTGATATTTCATGGAGAAAAACAGACTTAACTAAGTTCCTCTTACCCCAGCTTATTACACCTTTACTAAACGATATGACCTTGTCTTCATTTCATAGTCTTATTTGTGAAGCATGCATGCCAAATATAAAGCTTTGTCTTAGGGCATTCCGTTTATTCTCCGTTTTTAATTCTGTTGTCTCTTAGCTCTGGGTTCTTGAAACTGGAAATATTACTTAAAATTACTTATTATTTGGAAACAGTTATCTAAAATTTGAATTTAAAAAAAAAAAAAAAAAACTATCTGATTAATATTATTATTAAGATTAAACTGTGCAAAGAATACATTGTATGTTGGGATCCATTACTAGAGAGACATCTAGAGATCCATTATATGGATAGTTTTAGCAACAATTTTTTGTTTATTTCAATAATTTCATTTTTACCAAAAATATAAAGAGTTTTTGGTAACCAAAATTTTTAATTTGGCAAACATCTACTTAAGAGAAAACTTTGAACGGCCTAATACTATGGCTTAAACAATATAAGGGTATACCGCAATACACAAAAAAATTATACAGTGTCACAGTACAAAAAACTATTTACCTGTGTATCATGATATATAATATTTTATGCAATTTATGCTTTTTCTTTTTAATTTAACCAAAAAAAAGTGATTTTCTTCTTTTTACTTATGCTTTTTTTAATTGTGTTCAGAGGTTAATAAATGTTACATACATGTAATGTATTTGATAACTGAAGAAATAGCAAATTTCTAATTTCTGAACAGAGACACAAAAATTAAAAAGAAAATTATGAAAGGTGAAATATTATGATATGTATCATGATACAATCCCAGTGTATCATAATATACCACAATATGCTTTAGCCATATCATTTTACCCTACCTAATACATGTATCAGATAAAAGTTCAAAAGATTTGACAAAATAAAAAGAGTGGACAAGATGATCAAAGATGCAGATAGACTTAAAACAACATGTTCTCAAAACTTCGTTAGAGGGATTTGTAATTACACCAGTACCTCATCTGTTATTATAAAACACTCCCCCCCACACACACAAACAAACAAAGTTTAACTACACATACATAGCAACATGCGTACAACAGAAACCAGAAAATAATGACAAGTATGCAGGAGTTATTCCCTCTTCGACATTTTCAAAATCAATCATGTCACGCTACTGCATGCCAGTATATATTACATGTATAAGTTTTATTTAGATTGTTGTTTTTTTTCTTAAATCTTAAAGTATGTTAAATATCAATGATACTATACTTAATGCAATATCAGAGTTCTTTGTTATTCATCCTACAAACTTTAGTAGTCTGTTTATTAAATGATTTCAACTTTGGGTGTTTACACGCCTATCATACTGAAATTTAAAATAAATAAATGAAATATTCCAGGAGATAAAATATCTACTGTATACTTTCTTTCCCTGTAGAAAAACAATCACTTCAGGTGGACCTTTCAATTTCTTCATTTCCAGAAAAAAAGTCCTTGTTTCCGGACAGTATTTGATGTCCTTGTTTCCAGACAGTATTTGATGTCCTTGTTTCCGGACAGAATACTGAGAAGGGGTACCAGTTTGTCTGTCTCGTGATTACAGCTTACACTTCCATTGATGTGAAACTGACTTGGCATCATTTCTCACAATAAGAATCCAAGACATGCCAGAAAATACCTCTAAATACCACAGTATATAACTACAATACAGTTATTATGTATAAGTCAGATTAGCGCCACAGCTCCAGACATGACGAGGGCAGACAGTGGTTTGTATCTCATTATATGCTGATCTTCCTTCTGTAAATCCACAATCTCCTCTCTGTAAAATATCAAATTAACACTGATAAGATTTGAGCTCAGTCCATTAAAATATAGCTTTCAATTCAAATATTATCCTCATAAAACCAGAAGTATATACAAGTGTTATTATCCACAAAACTCTCAAATTTTTAATGATCTTAGATAAAAAAATTCCATGAGAATTGTATAATATCATAATCTGTATATCAAGTGAAATACAGACTTCCACTATAAATGCAGTAAATACATATATTACCGAAGTAATTTTTCTCAGAAAAGAATTCAAAGGAGTAAGCAGCAACCATCATTTAAGCCAGCATATTCATGAAAGCAATGTAGAGCCTGCCCTACCCTGTGTCTAGTGTCTCCTCCTCCACCAGGACTCCGTCAGTATCTTCATTTACCCTCAGGAATACGTAACTGTCTAGATTTGGCCGAATCGCTGCCGAGAAAAAATCATAAAGTCTAAATATTAACATTCAGATTCAAATAATAAGGTCACTGAAAGACAAATTGAACCAAGCTTTATCTATTTAATAAAAATCACAGCTTTTTGGAAGCTTGGACTTATACCCAAGCATTACCATGATTATGCACAAACAAAATCTAGTGCTTAACATTACTTGTTTGCTTTGCATCCATGGCTTGCAGATTTGGTGGCATGTGTCGTAGAACCAAATTCTTCATATGTGTTTCCATAGTAGCTGCATACCTAAATAAAATATACATACCAAGTAAAACAATTTTTGGTGCCATATAATACATTTTGCAGAAATCATATTAGCTTATCTATAGTGAATAAAAGACAAGGTACAGCTGTGAAATCTACATCACATTGGGTAGGTCATTTATCTTTATACACTGGATCCACAATTGTGGAATACTGAATTTCTTTTATTTATTGGAGTAAATCTGAACAAGTCTTTCACTTGTCAGATGCATAGATATGATTAAAACTTATCAACTCTCTCAAGAAATATGGGAAAAGAGAAACTCTAAGATTCTCAATAAGCTCAAACTTCATATAAAACTTCATATTTGGTTTATATATGTACAGTAAAACACGCTTAGAATGAAGTGCCAGGAAAAGATGATTTAGCTTCATTATAAACATAATTTGTCATATACCTTAACTTTACAATATATTTAAAAGCCATGGGGATTGAAAATAACTTTGCTGTAAGCGTCAGTTCATTATAAGCATGTTTGCTATATGCATGTTTTACTGTATTTTGTGTATTACGCAGATATATATGATTTGTCCCCCCCCCCCCCCCCCCCAAAAAAATATTAAACAGTGCTTTAATTTATGAATTAGGATAGTTTTAAATTAACACCACCAACAAATTCTCAGCAAGAAAGAGAACACTTCTTTTTCTCTGTCAAGTTGTTTCACTTGGATACGACAATGTCAAGGGAAAGTTACACTGACACAAGAAAAAAAGAACCAACTCTTTAGCAAATGTGAATTCCTCTGGTGAAAGATGGCAGACATCATCGTCTTGTCTATTACTCTCCTGCTCCAAGATATGGTTTGTGTATCTCTCAATCTGGAAAAAAAATCCATGATAATACGCAGATATCTTTATGTTTGTTTAATCTTGATAGAATTACATGTAATGCACTGAGATGGAAAACATCTGATCTCTAGATGTGTACAATAAAGTGTATTTGGTTTTACTGCTCTTCAGCAGCTGAAACTTGCATTCTGCTATAAATACCTTCTTCAACCGGCATCTAAGATAACTGCTAAGGACATATCTAATTCTGTCTATCTGAAAACAACAGCAAAAGAAGGTCATTAAAAAACATGCAAAGTGTAAAATATATTTTTTATTACTTTATGTTATCTGAAATGAAATTATCCACATAAAGATTAATAAGTTTCTCATATCTAGTGTATGTGTTATTATATCTTTATTGTTAATTATGAACAAGATGTGTTTGTGAAACACTGATGCCCCCATATGGCAGCTTATGGCGAAGGTTAAAGTTTCTCAAATGCAAGTCAAAATCCAGGCCAAAAGATAAAAAATATTAAATTTGAAAGCCCTAGCTTCAACTGTTCAAAAGTAATGGCGAAGATTAAAGTTTTTTAAAAGTAAGTAAATCATCAAAGTCAAGGTCAAAGTTGTTGGTATCCAAAGGAAGGTCTTGTCACAAGGATTACATATGTAAAGTATGATTTCAAAGCCCTAGCACCAACCATTCAAAAGTTATGGCCAAGTTTAAAGTTTTTCGAAAGTAGGTCAAACTCCTATGTCAAGGCAAAGGGTCAAAGTGGTTGGTATCCAAAGGAAGGTCTTGTCACAAGGATTACATATGTGAAGTATGAAAGCCCTAGCACCAACCATTCAAAAATTATGGCCAAGGTTAAAGTTTTTCAAAAGTAGGTCAAACTCCTAGGTCAAGGTCAAAAAGTCAAAGTGGTTGGCATCCAAATGAAGGACTTGTCACAAGGATTACATATGTGAAGTATGAAAGCCCTAGCTCTAACCGTTCAAAAGTTATGGCCAAGGTAAAAGTTTTTCAAAAGTAGGTCAAACTCCTAGGTCAAGGTCAAAAGGTCAAAGTGGTTGGTATCCAAAGGAAGGACTTGTCACAAGGATTATATATGTGAAGTATGAAAGCCCTAGCTCTAACCGTTCAAAAGTTATGGCCAAGGTTAAAGTTTTTCAAAAGTAGGTCAAACTCCTAGGTGAAGGTCAAAGGGTCAAAGAGTTTGATATCCAGAGGAAGGTCTTGTCACAAGGAATACACATGTGGAGTTTGAAACCCCAAGCACCAACTGTTCAAAAGTTATGGCCAAGGTTAAAGTTTTTCAAAAGTAGGTCAAACTCCAAGGTCAAGGTCAAAAGGTCAAAGTTGTTGGTATCCAAAGGAAGGCATTGTCACAAAGAATACACATGTGAAGTTTGAAACCCCAAGCACCACCTGTTCAGAAGTTATGGCCAAGGTTAAAGTCTCATAAAATTTTGCAAAAGTGGGTCAAACTCTAAGGTCAAGGTCAAATATATGGTACCCAAAGAAAGGTCTTTTCACAAGGAATACACATGTGAAATATGAAAGTCATAGCTCCAACCAATCAAAAGTTATGGGCAAGGTTAAAGTTGACAACAGACAGACAGACAGACAAACAGACAAACAGATAAACAGACAAACAGATAAACAGACAAACAGGACAAAAACAATATACCTTTGATCCGGGGGCATAAAAAATGAATTAACGACGTTGGATCCTGATATTTAATGTCTTAAACTTTTTTGTCAAGTATATTTTTAGCTTCTACACACATAGCTTAATTAAAAATCAAAACAAAAAATGGGGGTCAATATGCTTCTTTTGGCGCTACAGTACATTTAAAATGACCTTTTTGCACTGAATTTGTGTCTTAATCAAAAATAACATCTTCGACGTTTTCCCTCCAATATTTTTTATCCAAATAAATCATGGGACAAAGTATGCTATTATTCTCTCTTAAAAAAGACACATTAAAATTGTGACCAAAAAAAATTTCAAATTGCTTCGCATAATCAATTATTTGACCTTTCTGCACTCACAAAATGTCATTTTTCGGGCATTAAAAATTTAACAAGCAAGAAAAATATTTCAAAGTCTTAAACTTTTGCTGAATTTAAGTAGATTGATCAGAGTTATCTTATATATTCAGAAAAGAAAATCAAAAGTGGAGGTCTATGATGTTATTTTTTAGATATTACTAAAAAACTGTTAATTTTATGATAAAATTGGCTCAATTTTTTCCTGGAGTTTCAGAATATATTTTCTATATTTGTCACAATATGATGATAGAATTCACAAAAAACTGATTTAATTAATATTTTAGAACCAGCATTAAACATTTCAATGCACAAAATAGCTCTGTGTGCAACCAGCATGGAAAAATAGGAATCTAAACTTAACAGTACTGTATATATTTCAAAAGGGAAAAAATGATCATTTTCTTCTAAAAAAACCTTCTGCCACAAAATATAGTTCCTGGCTTAATCCTATTTGAATGGAATTTAATTGCGGTTTTTTCATTGGATATAGTGTAATTTGCATTGTAGAATCCAGATTTAATGTTAGAACTTAAAAATAATGCAGAATTTTAGAAATAATGCTCAAGACCAAAATCTGCTCAAAAGCTCAGGATCGAACGTCCTTAAAATAACTGATTCTTATGGGAAATGTTACACAGGACAAGAGAGATAACTCAAATAACCCTGACAAACTACAGCATTAGTGATCTTTGAATTAACATGCATGGCCATGATTATTTAACACTAGATTTTTTGAAAAATAAATATCTAATTTTAAACATATGTGATGAGCCTGGGGAGATGTAAATGATGCTGAAAATTATTTTTATATATATATATATATATATCCTTTTTACATTAAGGAGGAAGAGGACCTAATGAGCTGAAAAAAAATCTAGTCAATCAATTCTTGTAACTCTTTGTATATTACTAGTTTAATATATCTTAAAGCCGTCCGTCATCAAATTTCTTGACTTATTTAAGAAATATTGCCACACAAATGCATGTATTGCTCCATTCAGTATGTATGTCTGTATGAAGTTTTTATTCTTTATGTTTACTTGTCCATTATTGAGTCTACAATGGGAATTTTGAAGCTTGAATAAAAAATGTGTATGAGGACATGTATCTCTTCAAATATTTCAGAATATGAATTGATTTCAAAATTCTTAAAGCATTTTTAAAATATTGCACTGCAAATTGGAGTGATTTACATACTTTTCCAGTAAAATTTACGACTGAACTGAAGTCCTTCAGTTTATTATTCAACTGTAGCAATATCGAAAGGAGAAGCTTACCTCAATATTACACAAGACATAGATAAACAAGACATAAGCATGCTAAAAATGCCTCGACATGTTTACATTTTCCAGGACGTCACTCAAAAAATTAACAAGTGAAATGGAATATACCCGGTAAATAAAAACAATTCCTGCTTCCAAACAACACTCAACAAATTATTATTGGTTTCCTGCTTCAAAAAAAAAAAACCTCACAATGCAATGACTATGACCTGTTTTCATGTAATTAATCAACTGGTACTTGATCTCACTACACTAACAGATATTATATGACATATCATGACTTGTTAGATACAGCATAAAGAAAAAGAGGGATGGATCAATCTATTTCACAATTCACAGTTCGTAAAGAATGACAATCATGATCGTTCAAAACTTTTTAATATTTTTACATTAAATGTTGAAACTTAATAAAATTTATACAAATACTGATGACTTAAACAACCTTTTAGCATCTACATTAAGAGACTTTGACATAGTCAATTAGGTCATGTGATACATGTATGTGTCCTGTCTCCCCTCAAATTACACGTCATAAGTTTATCATATTAAAGTACACTATAGGAACACTTTTCACTCGGTCAATACTGAAAATTTTGGTCAAAGTCCACAAATTTTTCCATCTTTACCTCTGAAATCCAAAATTGCATATCTATATTAAATACCAAGCTGTAGTGGGCACTTATATGTATAGCATAACCTTTTAGGTATTTGAAAATCTCAGTTATGACAGGAATAGACATAAACTTTCAGATCCACTTGCTCTTTCAGCATAAAAGCTCAAACTTTAACTTGCCAGAATATAAAACTTGGTTGCCTAGAATTTAAAAGAAGAAAATGACTTGATTTATAATTTTTTTTTTTTACTTCATTGGACAAGAGAGATGATATTTGTTTGCTAACATAATTACAAATCATTATGAATTCATCAAAGAAATAGTTCAAGACAGCTACATTTGCCATATTTTTTTTTTTTTTTTTTACAGTTTTGATAAGGTCCTTTGGTTTATTTCTTCGGACAAAAGATATTTTGAGTAAACAATCTGAGAATTACATTGTTGTTTCACTTGCCCTAGTTGATATTTAACTTCCCACGGGCAATCTGACAACTTTTAATACCTATCTCTGTATGTCTCTGATTTTATTGATAGACTTTGGTTAACAGGGCAAAATTTACATGGAATTACATCTAAACAGAAACAAAACCAAAGAGTTTGCATTTACATGAATGTACAGTCGTTGGGAAGAATTTGAAGATTTATAGAGTGACAATTACCTCCATCCTATGAAGCACAACTTTGAAATCACCTTTCTTTGCTCTCTTGATGTTTTCTTCCATTTCTGTAACTTGCTCTAACATACAGTCTACTAAATCTGTTTTGGACTCCAACAGTTCTGGAGAAAATTTTTCATTCAACCAAGCCTAATTCCAAAAAAAAAAAAGAGAAGATAAACACAAATATAATAGTAATCTAATAAATTAACAAATGTCATTTCCTTAATCAGAAAGAGATATTATGCCACAGTCATCATTTCTTTTGATATTTTTCACAACTATAAGCATTATCAAGATTATAGCGAGTGGTCCAAAATAGCCTGTGTTTCACGATTTTGAAATTTGACATGCTAGGTGTTTTCATAGCATGGGGCATATCAAAATCTTGATAAATGCCTGGAAAATGTCACGATATTTTGGACTAAACTATGACATGTGTGTTAGAATGGAGGCATACAAGGCGAGGACAGTCCCCTACTCTATGAGAAGATATATTTCTCAACTAAAAAAGTTCATGAAAAATTTATGCTTTTCAAAATTTTGTTGTCAGTATCACCTTTTACACATTTGTTTTCTTAATTTATTGAATTAGTTATTGAAAAAAAAAATTATTTTCCAGTTCAAAAGGAAAAAAAGAAACTCAGGTATGATTTGAACTTTTACTTATAAAACTCACTGTGCAGTGTGTTGTTAAATGTGCTGACCACTATGCTAAGAAGCCTTCTTACCACTGAAGTGATTCAGTATGCTATAATAACCAAGATTGTTGAAGCTTTCATTTTTTCAGAATTGTTCGATTTTCACATAGAATGGGCTGTGTCCATTTTTTGAAACATAAAATAGATTTTATTCATTTTTCCAACATGTAGAATTAATGTACAATTACTGTAGAATGGAGATTTGACCCCTTCATATTCGAAAATTGCCCGCTTGGCGAAGTGGTTAGAGCATTTGCTCTAGATTTGTGGGGTAAGGAATTGATTCTTACGTCGCAGGTTCAAATCCCACTGTGGGGCATGGAGACCAGTCCTTGGGATGAGACCGCAAAAACCGAGGTTCCGTGTCGCAGTATTTGGTGGCATGAAAAAGATCCCTCATTGTTCAATGGCCCTCAGTTCCAAGTAGAGGTCTAAATTTGAAGCCCTCCCAGGGATAGACATTAACTTTCAGATTCACTTGCCCTTCGGGCAAGTGATCTCAAACTTTGACTTGTCCGAATGCAAAACTTGGTTGCCCAAAATTAGGATGGAACTTAAGACGAAAATTATTAATTACTGCAAACGTTATGAAAAGAAAAAATGTGACGAAATACACTACTGTCAATTTGGCAAGTTGAGCTACCGGGTACCTGAAAAAATTTCGATCCTGCGTTTGTACATAAATGTATACCGCTGTACTTGTAAATTTAACCTGTTAACATACACTGCCATGCAGCAATAACCCTCCGTTTCCTTTAAAAAAAAATCATATATTTGAAAATTAATTGCGGTAGGATCATTTTGTGATTCATGGTTTTCAGCGATAACTGTGAAGCAACGCTTAAGGAAGATAGTTGCTACGAAACATACATCTTACCTTGATCAGGATACAACGTGTTACACTGTACTTATATTCTGTGCGTGAATAATATAATTTCATAATAAGAAGTTAACAAAATTTTGTTAGACGTAGAGTGTATTTCCTACAAAAGAAAACAAATTCGATTTTTATATGAACGGTATAATCCAGAAACGCTACCAAGGAATTTCGAATGCAAAACATTGTCAGTCAGGTGCGTGGCGGAAATCAAGTGTTCAATTTATTGTTTTATTTATAAATTAATGTAAACTAAAGAAATATGTACATTTGTATGAGAAAAATTCACTTGCCCCATCGGACAAGTATGTCGACAATTTCACTTGCCCGAACTGAGAATTTACTTGTCCCGGGCAATCGGGACAACCGTTAATGTCGATCCCTGCCTCCTACGGCAAGTGGTGGCGTCTCCATAAAATTATCGAGATGGACGTTAAAACAACAAACAAACAAAAACACATTCAAAAAAAAAAAAAAAAAAATTAATGGCTCTAGTAGAACCACTTTCCATTAAATATGCTTAACTGTCAACTTTAGAGAACATATCATCAGTAAGTTATGCAATTAAATAAATCAACTGTGTTAAAGATGACATTACTGACAGCATAAACTTTGAAAAATATAACTTTTCCATAACTTTGAAAAATTATAAGAATTATATTGTCGCACAGAGGGGATTTCCCCGCCTTGTACGGCCCCATTCTCTCAACAAATCATGACTTCTAATCTTAAATTCAAAGTTAATTTACCTCATATTTATATCACTTAACAATTCTATGTATATTAGTTTTAATAATACATTATCAGGTTGGGCACACACCACCAAGTGGTCATTTATCCCCCGTTTGGTGGTCAATCGCCCATATCGGAGTCGTATTTACTGACCAGATGGTGGTCTTTTTTATTCAAATCCAATTTTTATAAAAATAAAGCAAAGGCGCATTCGTATAGGCCTCTGGGAATTTTAGTAAAAATATTCCTCGCACAATTAATACAGTTCGGTCAATTTTCCATGTGTAATTTCTGTGGAACTTCATAAAAACGATACCTACAGCTGTCCCTGACGGTCGAACTTCTTGCTTAATCAATCCAAAAAATATTTTCTTGTGTCTAGTTTAATAAAAATTCTATTTAGACCAGTAGTTTAACTCTTTAGAAGTTAACTTTCATTCGATCTTTGGATCTTCGTCTAAATAAATCTCTATAGAATCCCGTTAAACACGAGCTCCTCATACTCTTTACTGGTATGGTGGGCACTTACTGCTATAATATTCATTTTTTCTACATTTGAATGTAACATTTGTTCTTTATTTACTTTTATGAAGAAGATGCGATTTCTGTGCAACCTTTTGTGGTTTAGTATGCATATTTGTGATGAATATACTATATTTAATCAATGATTTTGAATAAAAGATTTACAAAGTGACAGTTGCAATTATTCTTGTTTTAATTCCAAGAACATCCTTTTGAAGCAATTATTATATCATGATCTCACTGTACATTTTATTTTGATAAGGAATAAAGCCATCGCGTACAAAATAAAACAAATTCTTCTCTTTCATTTCCTAATTGAAAATTGACACTAATGTGCCTCCGTAGTTAAATCAGGCTTTTGTCCCAGTTCTAAAAAGATCATCATTTTTTATTGGTTTAAATTATTTGATTGGTTGCCTGGATGATAAAAATAGAAAGTAAGAAACACGATCAACAGGTGCAACAACGTTCGGGAAGGAGAGAAAATTTCTTTTTAAAGTAAAAACACAGAAACGTACTTGTTACGTTGGTGACGATTTGGTCAATAATTTGAACGACACTGCGCAAAAAACTCCACGTTGAATTTCCGATTTTTTTTTTTCATAGTGCCGATAAATGTCTATATTTTATTCCCCACGAGTTAATCAGGTTGGGCACACCCCACCAAATGGTCATTTTTCCCCCGTTTGGTGGACAATCTCCTATATCGGAGATGTATTTTACTGACCATTTGGGAGAGGAAAATGGTGGTGTTCAATTCTAAAGAATGGCGTGGAATGGCGCATAATTTTAAACCATGTGGAATAAAATATAGATATTTATTGGTGTTCTGAGTGAAAAAAATCGGAAATTCAATGTGTAATTTTTTGCGCAGAGCCGTTCAAAAATTTTACAAAAACATCACATACGTAAACAAGTTCAACGTTTCTCAGTTTTTACTTAAAAAAAAAAATTCCCTCCTTCTCCAACAATGCTGCACCTGTCAATCATGTTCTTTACTTTCTTATCCATTATCCGGGCAACCAATCAAATAATGCAAACCAATAAAAACGATGACCTTTTTTTAACCTGGTCAAAAGTCGGATTTAACTACGGAGGCACATTTGTATTCATTTTCAATTTGGAAATCAAAAGAAAAATAAGTTTTCGCCTTTATTTCATTTTGTTTTGTACGTAATGGCTTGTTCTTTATAAAAATAGTAAATGAAGTTAGATTATGATATAATTATTGTTTTAAAATGATGTACTTGGAACAAAAACAAGAATAATTGTATAAGTCACTTTGTAAATCTTTTACTGAAAATTATTTATCAAATATATTAAATTCATCAGTAAAATACATATTAAATTACAGAAAGTCACATAGAATATGGAACTTCATCCTAAAAGAAAAATAACAACATATATTACGTTCAAGTCAAGAAAAATCCAACTTAATAGCAATGAGTGCCCACCATAACAGTAAAGTAATGAGGAACATGTGTTTAATGGGATTTTATGTAGAAAAATATTGACAAAGATCCAAAGAGCGATTGAAAGTTAACTTATCAAGAGTTAAACCACTGGATAAAATAGAATTTTTATCCTACTAGACACAATCAAAATTTTTTTAATCAATTGATCAAGAAGTTCGGCTGCTACGGACAACTATGGGTATCGTTTTTACAAAGTTATGGAGAAATTGCACATGGAAAATCTACTGAACTATGTTAATTGTGCGAGGAATATGTTCACTAAAATTCCCCAATGCCTATGCAAATGCGCTTTTGCTTTATTTTAATAAAATTTGGAATAGAATAAAAAAGTCCACCATTTGGTCAGTAAAATACGTCTTCGATATGGGAGATTGTCCACCAAACACAGGATAAATGACCATTTGGTGGGGTGTGCCCAACCTGTTAATATTATGCGCCATTTCACCCCATTCCACAGAATTGAACAAAACGATTTTTCTCTCCCAAATGGTCAGTAAATACCGACTCCGATATAGGCGATTGAGCACCAAACGGGGCTTAAATGACCATTTGGTAGTGTGTGCCCAACCTGATTATCTGCAAAGCTGAAGTAAAATCAAGTGCCATTTACGGCAACGCCTCGACATTGACTAAATGAAAAAAAAGAAGTCTTTAATCACACCTCCTCCAGCTTCTGAAGTACTTGACCAGCTGTCATCGCTTCAACTTCTTCATCACTGACTCCATCAACTTCATCAAATTCTGCCATTTTTTTAAGTACTCTACTCACTACTGTTAACTGTACAGCTTCTCCGTAAAATTACGAACAAATTCTAACTAGCGCGCCAAATCAACAAATATTGTTTTCTTTACACAAGAGTTCTAATTTTGTTATATCGTACGTAAAATGTTTCAAGGGAAAGATAAGATATTTTCTCTCAAGAGACTAAGCAATGGCATGTAATTTTATCACTGTTATTTTATCATCAGCAGCTAAAGGTATACAAACAAGACTTTCTAAAGTTGAAAAGTATTGTTCTGATTGGTGTTTAAAGGTAAATATTCAAAAAACTAAAGTCATGATCTTTAGTAAAGCTGGTCGTAATATTACGCAAAAACTATAATGTTTCAAAATAATATGATAGACTTTGTATCTAGCTACAAATATCTTGGAGTCCACCTAACTGTATCTGGATGTTTTCAAGTTGCAAGATCAGAGCTCTATAAAAAGGCGTTAAAAGCATATTATAAATTGAGAAATGATTTTATTAATTTGAATCCTGGGATAAAAACGAGTATACACGTATTTGACTCTACTATTAAACCAATTCTTTTATATAATGCAGAGGTATGGGGTGCAAGTAATATGAATACTAAACGATTCCTAAAATGCCAAAAGTTAGAAGTTGAAGACTGTTTCAGAAATATACTTTGTGAAAGAATACACCTTAAATTCTGTAAATATATTCCTGGCGTTCATAAGAAAAGTACAAAATGTGCAGTATTGTCTGAATTGGGAAGGTTCCCTCTGCATTATGATATTGTCAAATTGTTAATCAAAAGTTGGTATAGATTTGAAAATTTGTACACAGATTTCCTTCACTTAAAGATGCATATGTATGTAGTAAAAAACTTTTTGTAGATGGCAAGAACTCATGGTTCGCATTTATATAGAAATTAAGAAATATACTGAATATCAAAGATGAAGTAATTTGTTATGTAAGCATAAATTTAAGTCACCCTGTCGTAAAACCTTATCAGATTATTATGTAAAAAAAAAAAAAAAATTGGTATAAGCATTTCTGGTATAAATGCTTATACCAACAAATGTTACTCAAGATCCTACTTAAAGCCCCCCCCCCTTTTTCTAACGTTATATACATGGTCGTAGGAACGGGGGGGGGGGGGCGTGCCCCCCAATAATTTTGCCGATATATAGATTACTATAGTAAACATACATACTATATGCTTGTGCCCCCTCAATAAAAACGTCTGATGACCTTTTTTTTTCTTTTTTCTTTTTTTTTTTTTTCTTTTTTTTTTTTTTTTTTTTTTTTTTTGCTTGTCAGGAAATTTTTGTTAAAAATTCCTGAATCTGCCAATTTTTGTTATTATTGTAATATTCTTGCTATCATAGGATTTATTCAAGCATGCGTTTTTAAGATATTAAAGATAACAAAACAGGCAATATAATCTATGCACAGTGGCAGTTAGCATTAAGCATTGGATAGTTGGCAATAAGCAACTGGCAGCTGGCAGTAAGCAGTGGGCAGTAACCAGTTAGCTGTCTTATAGGGAATTCCAAAGATTATTTTACAAAAAGAAAAAAATATTAATAACTCTGAAATATAGACCCCTGAAATTTCATATCATTTAGATATCTTTTCCTCAGATTCTGCATGAGATCTCGATCTGATATCCTGGCTCATTTTTTCCCCAGAAACTGAGAATGTTTGAGCATGCTGCCCGGAAGCATGGCGCTAACCTGCTTAAGCGTCACCCAAGCTGCATTTGTGTATAATTAAGCCCATAGCTACAGCTTGGTGGACCTATCTCACAAAACCATTCTGGATCTTCCAAATGAATAACAGTTTTTTTTATGAATATATTTGCACAATACGTGTAGTTTGAAAATATAAGAAATGAGCCTTGGCTATTTACATTAATTTCATGAAATACACTTTTTTTTAATAATTCAAATCTATGCAGAGTTGAAATATTGTCTACTGATAAAATCAATTTGTTGATTAAACAGAATATTTTCTCTTCTTATTAATCGTTGAAAAAGAATTAAGAAACACAAACAAAAAGATTCTTGAATGTACTGAGTATCATTTGTTTATTTATTTCTTTTTTTTTTTTGTGTTAATACTAACATTATGTACATGCATATAGTTATGGAAAACGTACATACAATTAGCGCATTCAAATCTGATTGGTGAATTAGCGAATTTGGAGTAATTTAAATCACATATTAGCATATATTTGAATAAGCGGACACAAAGCAGTAAAAAAGCGCTAAAATATTATTACCGCTGAAATGAATAGGTTTACAATATATCTTTGATTATCTAAGACAATGAAATCCAAAATTATAGTTCATGGCAGTCTTGTAAAAGTACTGATTTTAACAAGGAAACCTTTTTGTAACGTAAAGCTATGGTGCTCGATCATCGTGAACACACACGCCATTCATACACCACTGAAAAAAAATATGCAAAGACAGTTTAAACGTTGAAGAAGTACATTAAATTATTATTATAAGAATTCGACTCTGAAACAAAGCTAACATATGGCGTTTATTTTTCGGTATTATTCTTTAACAGGGAACGCAATGTCTAAAATTAATTTGAGTCTTGCCCTTGGGGGTAGTCTCCTTTCGGGGAAGAAGTATGACGCTTGGGAAGAAGTAAAGTATGACTTTTAAGTAAGGGAGGGGGTCATTCTAGAGAGACATTTCGGGGGGGGGGGGGGTGTCCCTTTGTGGGGGGAAAGTCTTGTACTACAACATCGGCTTATACAATTGTTCTTGGGCGAACATTTTTGTCAGAAAGTTCTTTTTAACAACATAATTATGCTTTATACCGAAACAGAGAATTATTGCCAGCCGGCATTAACAAGAAAATGCAAATTATTACAGGAAAATGTCAACATCCCACAAAAAGTGTATAATTTCAAAATCCAAGATTAATCAAAACAAAATTCTTTCACTGATTAATCTACGCCAGCCATCGCATTTATGATTTTTCTGTACATCGTAATGTTATCCGATATTTTAAAAAAAGAACATATCGTAATTGCTCATTATATTTCATATGTCCATATATCAGTTCACAGCTGATCAAGTAAAAAAAAAAAGAATTAGAAACATTAACGATCAATATGTACTGGTCCCAGCTGATAAAGTAGATAACATAGTCTTTGTTTGTAAGGCTCAATATTACAAATAGAGAAACTTGGATTAAATTCTACAAGTGATAGTCCATCTTATACTCAGAGTTCCCTTTCTAAGGAGGGAATTCTTCAAAATCGTATGTTAATTTTAAATATATTAAAATATTCCCAATCAAATCGAATTTGAACTACCATACTTAAACTGGAATCACTTCATAAAAGTTTCATAAAAATTCTTACATAGATGCATTGCGGGTTCTAGTAAATGTTCTACAAAGCCTCTTTCTTTACTCCTCATGAAAATATTAACGGCAGTGAAGGAGAAACTTCAGGAATGCTGTATAAAACATATTTGAGAAGTGGTGTTAATCAGATGTGGATACTTAAAACCTCCAAGGAACTTTTAGAAAATTTAGAAAATTTGAGATCACAAAATTTTACAAAAATCAATAACATCAAAACATACGACTTTTCAACACTAACATTCCCTTGATAAGAACAAAGGTGATAACGAACAGTGATCAATTAATCTAAAAAAAAATCTACAAACAATACAAAACTGGGCAGAAAACACGGACCCCCGGAAATTCAAGAGATGGTATCAGGTGGCTAGGTGGAGTAAGCATCCCCTGTTGACCGGTTATTCTACCGTACGCGTGAGCCCTATGAATTTATCAAATAGACGGAACATTCAGTAGTCAAATTTAGGATAAAACAAAGACCTAACAGTTGGTATGAAACACGTCAGCCAAAACACGACCCAATGATAGGTTATATTGTTGACAAGGTCATTATACGTATAGCTGTCCCTCTGTCTGTCTGTCTGTGAGTCAGTCTGTCCCACTTGCTTTTCCGCACCTTTTTTTCTAAACGCTTGCAGATATTGAGCTGATTATGTGAGTGTATCTTGATGAGCTACAGATCAAGTTTGCAATTCGTTCCGCTTAAGGTTTTTTGACGGAATAAAGGCCTTTTTAATTTTAAAGGGTTTTCCGCAATTTTTTTCTCAACGCGTGAATAAATTGAGCTGATTTTTATTATGTGAGTTTACCTTGATGAGTTATAGATCAAGTTTGCATTTTGTTCCGCTTCAATATATTTTGACGGAATTATGGCATTTTCAATCTTTATTGGGAACCAGATTACACTTGCCGACAGAGGACTAGTATTGCTAATGCAATACTCACAAAATACTTGTTGAAACATCTCTGTAACATCAACTTATCTGTCAGTAGCCTGCTTCGATTTAAAAATTGATCGTACTCACAGCATGCCTTCGAATAAGTTGAAAGGTGTAAACACCATAGGCGGATGATAGCGGAATGTTACTACATAATTAAGAAAAGGGGATGATGGAAAAGCAGAAGTCCTTTGGTTTGTCATACAATTTAGTTGTTAGTTGGCCCTTATCGTCTATAATCAGTAAAACATCCGAATAGAAAACAGATGTGGCAGACTCTGTGTTGTCTTTAATTTAAAGTTCACTAGGATATATCGAGTCGACAAATGAATGGAAGTTATTATTCTTTATTGATAAAACGTCGTCTATATATAGTTGAATGTCGAGTTGAAGGCCACGGCAAAAATTTTCTTTTTCTCAAGTAGAATTTTTTTTTAAAAAATAAATTCTACTCCATAGGAATCGAAAAGCAGGTCGGATAAAAAAGGAGCACAGTTAATTCCCATCGAAATTCCACCAGTTTGTTGGAAGACCAGGTGTCCGAAGATTACATGTTAAATATTGTTAATGAGGAACTCAAGCATCTTTTTAATATCAACTTCAGTACTTGTGTGTAGAATCAGAGTGATTTTTAAGAAAGTAATTTTGTTGATGTCAATCACAGGATATGGAAATTTCCGAGTTCCATTCTTATTAAAGAAGCAGTTGTCTATGATATCATAAAGCCTATTTTTTTAACTGAACACGAGGAATGGTTGTATAAGGTGGGCAAAAATCGTACGTTTTCATATTATTGACTTTAGAAAAAATTGGTGATTTTATATTTCCTGATTTTTTTTAATTTTTTTTTTTGAGTTTTTGAGATTTTGCATCTGATTTTCACCACTTCTAAATTAAAGACCAGACTTTTACCGGTAGACATCACAGACAACTGCTTCTTCGATAAAATGGAATTTGTAAATTTACATACCTTATCGTTGGTCATCTGCAAACTTATTTTATTAAAAAAAACTCTCTGATTCTAAACACAAACACTATAAGATTGATTTTAAAAAGATGCTTGATGTCTCATTGACAATATCTATGTAGCTTTCGGAGACCAGGTCTTCCAACAATCTGTTCAAATTTCGATGGGTGCTTATTGTGCTCTATTATTAACAGGCCTGTTTTTGTATTCATATGAAGCAAAATTTATTTAAAAATTTTTACGTGAAAACAAGAAGCCTCCTGCTATGGCCTTCAATTCGACATTAAGATATATCGACGACGTTTTATCAATAACAATATTCATTTTCATTCCTACGTTGATTCGATATATCCCACATAACTCGGAATAAAAGATCCCACAGAGTCTTACACATCTGTTTAATATTTAGATATTTTACTAGAAAACGACATTAATGGCAAAATGCCAACTACACATTATGAAAAACTTCTTTCATTTATGTAGCAATATACCATTATCCCCTGGATATGGAGTTTGTGTCTCCCATTCGAAAGGCAAGAGAATGTTCTATATACGAATAATTTCTAAAACAAGGTAGGCTAGTGACCAATAAGTTTATGATACAAGGATATTAACGAACTCCTTGAAATTCAACATTTGGCAGATTCTATGGTCGATACATTGTCAGTGTTTGCAAATACAATCTGTCGTTGGGTTGAATGTTGACTATGTTTTTCAATATAAATTGTTTGTCCATTATTTTCACACCGATTTTTCCGTTTACCCGATCATGACAACGAGCAGACGGCGGGTGTGACTGGTCGGTAACGGATGCTTACTCCCCCATCTCATCCCTCCTCCTTTTTCAGAGGCTCTGCTCATAATTTATATTATCTAAATGGACTTTTTGAGAATGTTTACTGTTCAATATCTTTACATTTCACCTGGCCGGTAGGAATCGGAGATAAATAACAATAAATACATCAGTTCCAAGTGTTAAAATCCTAATTTACCAACATTTTTGAATTTATATCAAATTTATCAATAAAATCACAGTTGATTGCTACATGCTTTACTGACGGATTCGTGTCAATTTATTGATAATCTGTATTTTATATCTTGTAGTTTTAATTTATAAACCTAATGCATCTACCTTCTTATGGACTTAAGAATGCAGTTTTAATTTTAAAAAAATTTAAAAATCTTTTCCCCAAGAATTAACTTACTAGCCAGAAAAGATAGTGAAGATAAAAGTTTAATTTGTTAAAAATCGCCCCTGCCTCCCCGAGGTAGGGTGGGGCCAATAGGGGACACTGGTGGGTGGGGTGCCAATATTTTTGCCAGTATATACTTTATATTTGAAAACAAAGCTAATTTACAGTAGTATCCCACTCAATAATTTTGCCAGTACCGAACAACAGAAAACAGTGCTTAATATATAGTTGCCAACCGCACCCCACCCCTCCCAATATGTCCATATCAACAGTATCAGACCTGCAATGTATTACATAGATTCATTTCTTAAAATTTAATAGTAAATGTAATTTTGATTCTTCTTTCATTTAACAAGAGCAAACTTTTCAACAACACATTGTATTATTTTGCCACTTACAGATTTGCCTGTTACAAATTGGTGGGTCATTACGCACGATGATTTAAGAAAATGGATACATTTAGCAGGGAGTCATCTGACATTTGCATACATTTAGCAGGGAGTCATCTGACATTTGATATATATATATATATATATATATATATATATATATATATATATATATATATATATATATATATATATATATATATATATATATATATATATATATATATATATATATATATATATATTAGGGATGTCAAAATATTTATTTTCTTTAGTCGAATATTCGATTGCATTATTCGAACGATAGTCGAATATAGTCGAATCTTTTTCGGAAAATAAAATTTTATTTCAAACCTCATTGGTATATGACGTATTTAACCCCAAAACCTTTTTTTCTAATTATTAAAAAGTAACAAGAAATGTTACACACAGATGTTCACATGCACCAAAAATGTGGATAGCGTGTTTATATTTATTAAATCTTGTCCATAAATCTGTCTGTAAAGACGTTTTTTTAAGTAAGATAAAAAATGACAGTACTATATATTTCTTAAAGCTTATTAAAATAATTGGGGGAGGGTTAAAACACACATTATCCACACGCCAGATTATTGTCTGTGATAATGTTAAACAGTTGAATATAATTTTTGTCCCGGCTATCATAATGTCTTTGAAATTTGTAAAAGAATATTAATTTTATAATAATTATCGTAGTGTCCAAATATGTCACGGCTATAATGTGTAAATCGTTTGAGATCAAGTCCAATTAATAATTTTACAAACAAAGCCCAGTATAGTGAGATAATTTTATTACAAAAAAACAACACATTAATTGACAAATAATTATCGCGGAATTGAAGCATTTCTAATTACTGTACTCTCTACATGTAAAGTCAGCAGTTTTTAATGAGGAAAATTATCTTATCAACTGTGTCTGAGGAAAGAAGGTTTCTCAATTTTAAGATGAGAATTCCATCTCTTTATCACTCTTTTATTGAATTTATTTATTCGAATGTCGTTTCCTTATTCGATCGTCGGTCCATTCGACTGATAGTCGAATAGTCGACTATTCGTTGACATCCCTAATATATATATATATATATATATATATATATATATATATATATATATATATATATATATATATATATATATATATATATATATATATATATATATATATATATATATATATATATATAAAATATTCTTACTAGAAGCTTAATTAACTTGCTTTAGAAATAACCTTTTTATGTCCACAAGACGTTCCGGGGGCGGCAGAAGACTTTGTTGAACAGACGTTGGAAAGCACTGGATCCCAGCAGTACAATTTATGGCAAATGTCTTCCAATGTCGTTCCGACGCTCTGAAATTAAGAGACAATATACAATCTAAGAATTCACCAGAGTCTGATAAAACCCTAATTACACAAGTTTATTCTAGGTTTAGTGGGCTCAAGAGTCATATATATATTGTAGGAAAAAGCAATGTTTTTGTATAATCACTGTTGAATTCAAATTTGAATCTCATAAATGCAATCAACTGACATTTTCTCTCATTTTATTACTTTGTTATATTAGTTAATTAGTAAATGAAACAATGCGTACACATTAACAATTTTAGTAAAAATCTAAGTAGCTAAATGTACATTTGTATTAAAGTGAAAGTTTTTGCCAATTATATTTTGCTATAAATTTATATATTAAAACGTACTGAAAGCAGACATGGATCGATTGTTAATCTGTCTTATCAAAAAAGATAAAACCGTACATTTAAATCAATTATAATATGTTCTTTTTTAAGAGTATTTGCTGTACAAGACATTTCATAAATTTTTTTTAAGTTTTCCATTTTTAATTTAATACTTAGATATTATCTGAGTGTCGACCGACTTTTTCTTTATTAAATTTTCTCTCGGCAATATTAATTTTCTTTCTGCAATATTAATTTCCGCTTTAAGGAAAGGTTGGCACAATCCATAATGATTTTATTTAAAACTGCGTCTGTATGTAAAGTAAAGAGCAAGCCAAACTCCATCCCTCACAGCATCCGCGTATTTTCCAGTCATAAGCTTTGTTATAGAAAATATGACATGAAATGGGAAAAAAATCATTAATATTAGCTTAGTTTGGAAAGTTTGAATTATATTTTCGAAATTATCTGAATTAAGAGACCAAAAAATATTAATCATATTGACAGTTTGAAGACTGAGAATCTCTTGTAGATATTTTTACGGTTTAATTATTCCTAATTTTACACAATCCATTTGATGCAGTTAATCAAGTCAAAGAAAGTAATCAAGAAGCAATGATGGATTAAATTGTGTGCAAAGATTTTAAGTGACTTTTAAGAATATTTTTCCAGTTTCCACGAACAACCCATTAAATCAATTGTTTCAAGAGCAATTTGCTCTTTTTTTTTTTTTAGATGAGGACTCTAAATGTTTATACCAAACAAAAAGACGTTCCATAAATTTGACGACATTGTTCGGAGACGTTGTAGATTTGACCAGGAGCATCTTTAGTCAAAACGTCATAGTGATGATTTATCCGAGGCTTATCCAGAACACACAAGGCTTCGGGTCTACTGCAATAACAAAAGACAAAGGGCTTTGAAATTCAAAATAAAATCGATTAAATATGTCATTACCATTAATGATGAAAAGATAAAGAAAAAAATCTTTGAAACATATCATTTGTCTTTTTCAATAAGAATGCAATCGAGTGCAATCGTATTGGAAACAAAACTTGCACAGTTTTCCAGAAGAGGAGGTTATTTTGAATTCCTGAAGGGTATTTTCGACAGTCTTCTGTCCAAGTCATTCTTGACCTTTACATGACCTTGTCTTAATTACAGTTTCTATCTATGATATGGATTTGAGGCGGTACTTATCGTTAAATTACTTTTTTGAACCCCTAACGGGCTACTTTTCTCGATAATCCAACAATTTATTTCCTGTCCATGATTAACGAAACCATTTATAGTGCCCCCTGTTAGGGAGTTCTATATCATTTAAAAATAAGGATAAATGTCTAAGGTTCATCACAGAAAATGTTGCCTTTAGGGAAAACATGTATTTAGTAAACTTCTGTAGAAAACTAAAGAAACGCTAAAATCCAGACAAAAATATTTAAATAAGATCAACATCGTAGGAGGAATATCATTTTACTTGCAAGAATTTCACAAACTATTCGATTCTAAGTAACCAATATAAGACCATGAAATAATTAAAAAAAAACAAAAACAAACAAACAAACAAAAACAAAACAAAACAAAAAACATGTATTCTTAGTTTCATTGAAATCAGATCATTGGATGAGGATCTAAAAAGAACTTAGAGTGACCTTCTAAAAACAGTCGCTAGATTTTGTTGAAGAGAAAATCAAATTGTTTGCAGAGTGAGACTTTAATTAACCTAAAAACTTTGTTGAAAAGCAAGAAGATCAGGACAAATAAGGACTCCTGAGGCAGATAATGAATAAACAGAAAAAGGAAAGGTTGGAATCTGTATAGAGCAGTAAATTTGTGGTAATTAAAGATAATTTCCCCTGCGAAATGTATATGTAGCATTATGAGAGAATAAAGATTTAAGACGTAGGCAGCTTAAATGATCAAGAGCCCATCGGCAGAAACACTCACCTGACTTAAATAACGTTAACCTTTTCAGCAAATACAATCTATCATTTAGTCTAACTGTTAGGCCATTATTTACACACTGAATTGTCTACGAATTTTTCCGTTTTTCCCGATCATGAAAAGGAGCACACGGCGGGTGTGACCGGTCGGCAGGGGATGTTATTCCTCCATGACACCTGATCCCGCCTTTGATGTTTTAGAGGTCCGTGTTTGCTCTGCTCCTGATTTGTATTGTTTGAACGGACTTTTAAGCTTGAATACTGTTCGTTATCTCCATATTTAATCGTGGCCTCAATCATAATGCATATTTTCAAGTTTCCAATTTCACGGACAATTTATAGTTGATAGGTGGTACAAAATTCTAATAAAAGTATTCTTCTGCTATGTAAAAACTTTAATCCTACTTTAGCCTTAACAAAGATTAGAAACCCAGAATGTGAACAAATAGCAATCTGCATTCCATCGATAGGTTGTCTAACAATTACACTTATTAATGTCTTGTTATTCTTGAAAGAAAATTTTTGAAGATGGTTCCACCATTATATTACTACTTGAAACTTCGATCTCTATTGAAAATCCACTCTATCCCAGGGGACTTTGATTTGAACAATGATGAATTTGTTCTACACAAGAAAATTTTTTTTATATTAATTTCATAAATTGTAGTCCTGCTTTTCCAATTAATATATTTAAATATTAGGAAAAAAACTTCAGATCCCTATAGCGGAACTAATCCTTGCTCATGAAACCATGGTTTTACCAAAATATGTTCCATATATTTGGGATGTTTAAAGTAATGCAATACTTCTGTTCCTGAATCTTTTTTAAAAGACCGCCCTTACTTTTTTATGTAAAGCTTCAAACCCTAGTTTGGTTCCCATTCTTATTTAGGGGGATATGGCTTGACTAAACTTTATTCTTGATGAAAGGGGAAGCTTCTCTGTTTATCTGATTAGCAATGCTCTTGCTGATCTAGAAAACGAACAGATTAAAGGTTTTCTTTTTGCTTAATATTGCTATAAAAGCAATATTTTCCTTCTATTATGGGCCCACCTTATAGCCCCTGAACCTTGATTTGAACAGATTTGAAACTATTTGGTAATATTCATACATAATTAATTGTTTTCCTACTGTTTTTATTTTTTGAAGAACATTTTCACATACTCTCTTCATGAAACTTTGAATCCCGTCATCCAAAGAATTTGGTGGCAAATTCAATTCAATTTTGCATGAGAAATTCTAGAGAAGTCGAAAATGTAAAAAAAAAAAAAAAAATTACTATCATTCCAATAACCGTGTCAGTTTGCTTAGTCGACCTTGGTAAAATTTCATAAATTGATTACCATATTACTCACGTACTCATTTTATGGTTTCAATGAAATAAATACTGCTTTGCATATGAAACATGGAAACTAACGATACCACTGATAATACTGACCAATCGCATTGAATGATTGTTTACAAGTATGGCATTAATAGTAAGCAGCAACACGTGGTTAATTTAAGCCCATTAAGCTTCCTACAATCATATGTATTATTTGTTGTGAATTGCATGACAGGATGATAATAATATATATAAATAAACCAGTAAGGCTAGACTGCTACACGTTTGCAAGTGAAAGAGTTTTAAAAAATCATATACATTTTACTTAATTGATGTTCCCAAGTCCCGTTAATGAAATGCTAGGATTTTAATGTGTTAATCGTAAGTTTTGTAATATACCTAAAACTTTAGGGTTCTTTTCTTGTATTTAAGGGTTTCAGAGCAAACATATTTGGGAAATTGCCATTCAATATGGCATTATGATTAAAAGAATTAAAACAGACTTTGACTGACAATATTGCTGGATTCTCTGTTTCATATGCAAAGTAGTATGGTTTCATTGAAGTCAAATATTTAATCAATGAGAAATATTTTTATCAACATTTGAAACTTCAGCACTCTCGATTAAGCAAAATGACACGCTGTTATTAGAATGATGGTACATAACTTGCATGAAATACTAGTATGAAGATAACGAACAGTATTCAAGCTCAAACGTCCAAACATGACCTCTAAAACATTAGAGGTAGGATAAGGATAAGGTTGACTTTAAACGGGACTGTTGATATCATTGTATTATCAACTTATTTGTCAATAGCTTAAATTTTAGAAATTGTTCCTACGTAGACATGTTCTTGCGTATCTAATCAACTGGAAGATATAAATTTCATATGCAGGTGATAATGGTATATTAATGTACATAAATAAGGGAATCTGAGGATAGAAAAATTGAAGTCTTTAGCCAACAGAAAAATTGAAGTCTTTAGCCTACAGCTTTGTGAGCTGGACTTGTGAATTTGTGTCAGTGTTAAGCATGAAGGACCTCGTGACAATGTAGAGTGTGATGGACTTGCGAATTTGTGATAAAGTTTACTAACACAATTATTGTGAAACCTTATGAAAAAAATAATAATCCAAGATGAGAATCTTTTTGAAATATAAAATAATTAGATTATGTTCAATTAATTGTTTATTTTTTAATGCTTCATTCCTCGCCTAAAGTTTCATCAACAATTTCCTTCCTTTTTCTGCCTATCGTAGCAGTAAATTGTAAATACCATCAGCTTATTCCCGCTCTTTGCTATATATGACTATTGGTTTATTGGTATTAAATTCATCCTTTCTCGTCGGTGCTTTTACGTTGATTTTGAATTAACAACATGCGTCTATTCATAATCAATTTATTTGAAAGATTTTACAGTTGTTCCCGATAAAAGAGGAAGAATATACTTTTGAGTTTAAGAGTAATAAAGATCAGTATACTTCCTTTCTTGTTAACTAATGTGAATTTATTCATGGCCCAATCAATATTCAGATGGCAGAAGGTCCTGTCATCTTTATTCTTTTACTCAACTCTATTCTAAATAATTCTGTGTGATCATCATTGACTTGATCGCACATGAACTTTGGTGGTAAATCGCGATATGATCAAAATTCAAGTGGTTGCTTTGATACGCACAGCCAAAGCCTTAATAAAATCTATGAAATAAAATTAAATCGATATTATTGTATGTATAGCCCCTCTAGATCTTCTTATTGCAATGATAGACATGTTTCATCTTACTTAGACTTGCAGCATTTTTGGTAGGTTTGAGGGTTTTATTTTGTATTTTGTTCTTTACTATCGTCTTTGATATAGAATTTGCTTTGACTTTTGTTATTGAACTCCCTAAGTATTAATTTTATACTTTTATGTATTACTTTGCGACAAATGAACAATTTGTTAAGGTTCCAGCAGAGAAGGCTTGTAATTAACAATATCGTCTTTGTTTGTATGGCTCATTATTATAACCGTGTTTTAGAAATTGGTTTTAATTCTACGTTTGGAAATCCAAGTTATACTCACAGTTCACTTTCTAAAGATGAAATTCCTTCCACTTGAATATTAATACTTTTAACATTCCAGTCAATCAAGGTGATTTCAATCTACCCTATCTATACTGGATTCCTAAACTTCCAAAAAAAAAAATCGTTACAAAGATTTATTCCCGGGCCAAGCAAATGCTTTACCAAGCCCCTATCTTTACTAAATACAAAAATATGAACTGCAGGAGAAAATTCAGACGTACTGGGCTACAGCATATTCTAGAAGTGGTGTAAATCAGATGTGGATACTCAAAAAACGCGAAAGAACTTTTAGAAAAATTAAAATCACCAAAATATGAAAACACACGACCTTTCTACACTTAAAACAACCCTTCCTTACGATGAATTAAATATTTATTATAATAACCTTTTTAATATCGCAGACAGCCAATTCTTCAATAAAAATAGAACTCGAAAATTTTCATATCTTGTGGTTGGTCATCAACAAAATTACTTGGTTTAAAAATCACATTGATTCTACACATAAGAACATGTACTCTGACGTTGATATTAAAAGGATGCTTGAATTCCTCATAAACAACATTTGATATGTAATCTGACACCAGGTCTTCCAACAAACTGTTGACCGTCACGGTAGCTCAGTCGGTAGAGCGCTCGCTCCGTGATCGGAAGGTCGCGAGTTCGTACAGTACCAACCAGACCCAACCTGACACAAAGCAGTCCCAGAGCAGTCCCGGGGACTGCTTTCTGGGACTGCTAAAGCAGTCCCAGAGCGGTCCCAGAGCAGTCCCACAGCAGTCCCAGAGCAGTCCCACAGCGGTCCCAGAAAGCAGTCCCAGCAGTCCCAGTGGGCGAGGTTAATTAATTTAATGGGCGGAGCTTACTCAGAATGAGATTACCAATATACAATGTAACTACATTGTATATAAAAGGCAGTTGAAATTGATGAGCAATTCTTTCTGAGTAGTATCAACAAATATTTACAATTCTTACGCGACAGTCATTTCTGAACTGTTAAGAAAATCACAGTACGCGTATAGAAACAAATTATAATTATTGAATGAAGAAGACGTTCACACCTATTAATAACATGAATATTTAAACACAATTATTTGGTATATTAATTTTTAACCAAAATAAACCAACTTCTTCATTTTTTGTGATTGATATTGGTTTTCATATTTATTTTTTTATATAGGAAATTAAACTTTAATTGTTTATTTTATACCAGAATTAACTTTAAATAGATAATGATAATTATAGAGCAAGGCCGATTCCCATACTATACTCTGAATGCATTTTTCTAAAGTATTGGAGCTTTTGAAAAATTCTTTGTTAAACATTGCCGAGTATTGTATTTCAGTCATGATTATTTTCAATGACTTCCCAATTTAATTATTTTTAGATTCTCAGTTTTAAGTGTTTTATTATATAAATGTTCGAGTGTACATCTGTAAATCACGCAAATGGAACCCTCAGATTATGTTCAAAATTAATCAATCCCGAAATAAATTTATACACAATTATTGAAACTAAGATTTTTTGCATGACATAGATTGAAATTAGTGTCAATGTTGACCAGCGTGTTCAGTGATATGTAACACTGATACCCAAATAACATGCATTGACTTTCTGCTAATTATGCCCAAAGGCGATTGAAACCTCAGGTGTTGACACCATTTTATACAATCCCATTGTATTAACCGGCCAGGTAAACACAAAGAAAAGAAATAAGAAACAAGTCCCAATTCCTGATATTTTCAAATGTTTATTTTTTAAATAAATGTACTCTTTCAATGACTTGTTGATAAATTAAAAACTAATTCATAAATAAATCCCGGAATAATTGTTCACATTGTTTATGTGACAGAAGAATGGTAGAATAATTTTATTTCATGGTCATTAAATAAATTATTAGATTTTATTTGAGGGTGGTAAAAAATAGCATGGAGTGCTCTTTTTTAAGCATGGTATTAGCTTTTTCAATTAAGAAAAAAAATCCAGTACAGTACGTTCCTCTGAATACATGTATCTTACTGAAATGACAAGTTTGTTTGTTTTTTGTTTGTTTGTTTTTTTTTAAATAGTGCTTGTGCAAACTTTGGGTACATATGTAATTTGACAGCATTAATTTACAAACACCTGTATTGAAGTTTAATTTAAGGGATAAAAATCATCCTCTGACTTCCTTTTTTAACTACTTTTATTTTCTTAAAATTAATTCTAGACTACAGTTGTGTAAATTTACAGCCCTCTGAAGACATTCAGTCATTATATGTATAACTTTCTCTATTTATTTAATTTTTGTAAGAAATCAATACTTGTTTTTTTTATATTTGCTTTTATCTTAAACACCTCTCTGCAGAAAGTAATCAAAACAACAACAAGGAGCTGCAAATTCAGAATACACAAGGGGCGGAGCTATCATGTCACTCAGAACCTTTTTCACGCATGAGTGAACAAAGCAGGTGCAGAAAGCAGTCCCTGGGACTGCTAGGTCTGCTTTCTAGAGCAGTCCCACAGCAGTCCCAGAGCAGTCCCATAGCGGTCCCAGAGCAGTCCCACAGCAGTCCCAGAGCGGTCCCAAAGCACTCCCGGGGACTGCTTTCTGGGACTGCTTTGGTGTCAGGTTGGGTCTGGTTGGTACTGTATCTCGGCCGCAACTGACCTAAGTCGATAAAAAAAAAATGGTAGCAACTGTTCCTTCACCAAGCGCTCGGCACTTTGAAATGAAAGTTGCGGGTCCTTCGGATGAGACCTTATAAACCGAGGCCCCCTGTCACGGCAGGCGTTGGCACGATAAAGATCTCTCACTGCTAAATGGAGTGCCGAGTAAAGGTCTAAAGCCCTTCACCGGTATATGGTGACGTCTCTATATGAATGAAAAATTCTCAAATGGGACGTTAAACAACATACAATCAATCCAACAAACTGTTAGATAGTGCTCCTTTATTAGCCGACCTGTTTTTTATTCTTATGAAGCAGAATTTATTCAAAAACTTCTACACGTGAAGAAGAAAACCCTTGCAAAAGTCATCTCGACATTCAGATATATCGACAACGTTTTATAGATTAACAATGGTTACTTCCATTTATATGTCGATTCGATATACCCCAATAAACTTAAAATAAAAGACACCACATAGTCTGCCACATCTGTTTCCTTCTTGGATGTTTTACTCATTTTATGGCCAACTAACAACTAAATTGTATGACAAACGAGGTGACTTCAGCTTTTCCATGGTCAACTTTCCTTATCTATGTACTAATATTCTGCTTTAACCTTCATATGGTCTCCAATCTTATTCGATACTCAAGAGCATGATCTGAGTATGATCTATTTTTAAACCAAGACAGGCTACTTCGAGAATTCTATGGTGTTTATAATAATCTTGTTAGCAAATACATGTATAACTTATCATTGGGTGGTATTCTGTTAGGCTTATGTTTTTATAGTAAATTTGACTACGGAATATTTCGTCTACCTGATCAATACATAAGGTTCACATCGTGTGTGAAGAGTCAAAATGGGATTCTTACTCTTCCTAGGCACTTATCCCACCCCTAAAGTTTCCGGGACCCGTGTTGTATGCCCTATTCACGGATTTGTTTTGTAGATTTTTTTTTTTAGATCGAACACAATGTTCGCAACTAAGGAAACATTCTCTACTAATGCAAAGTAGAATAAATGGTTCGGGGCGATTAATATTCGCTAGTTAAAGTAGGTCGCGAAACTCGCGGATATTTCTCGCAAGCGAATAAAAGTTGGTTTACAGTACTATCCAAACCATGTTATTTTCTCTGATCAAATTTATCTGTTTCAAAGCAAGTATACAAATACCAAACCTACAACTCGTCAGTTGAGAGACATTAGTTCTCCTCATGGAGCTTGGTTCATTGTTCTGACGTTTTAAAAATATTTTGTAAGGATTTTTTAGGGTACAATATTGTTCCAAAGGCATTTCGTTTAGCATGCTCTTTGTCAACATGATTTCCTCAAGGTATCAAGGAAGTGGGCTTTTGCGTACCTGTGCTTTCTGTCATGCATTTTGAATTTTCAAGTGTTGACTATATTAACAAAATTCCAAAGTCATAGAGAGTTTACCTATTAATTTCTTTCTTTTTTTGTTCTCGCTTGTTATCGTGATTTTTTAATTGATATTAACTTTTAATTTTAATTTGAAAATGAGATGATGGGCAATGGATCTCTCTCTCTCTCTCTCTCTAATAAATTCTGCTTCAGTATTACAACTTCTGGTATCAAGTTAACATGCAGTAGACTTCCATTTTATTATATTTTGTAACGAGAATACCTTCTGTTAAGTGACACGTAGGCATTGAATCCTCTCAAATGTTTTCAAGCAACCAATTCATGGCAGAGGTTTAAAATTACAGAAAAGCATCATCCGACAATTTCCACGCACAACAACACGTGAAGAATATACACAGCAATTATAAATGAATATACTATACGTGCTATACTTATCTCTGTGTAGAGATGACAAATAATAATCTGTTTGACCGTCGATATACAACTTGATAATCGTACAGAATATGTAAAAATAAAACAGTTTTACTTCATTACAACCTATGAAGAAACTTACAGTAGGTTTTTCTTGATTGAATTGACCGTGCATTGAGAGAAATAGAAGCCATTAACGGTTAGCGGCGACACGACATCCATTATGTAACCATTGTTGGGATCACACTCCTGTCCACGAAACCAACCATCATGATCTGAGCCTAAACTAAAATAAATTAAAAAGGAATGCAGCAATTAAATAGTTTACATTGATATTCACTAAAATTCTCTCTGATAATGTGACAAACTTACAACTGAAATCAGCCTAGTGTAAAATTTTGTAAAATACTGTTTATCATAATGTCATAAACGTATAGTCCTAGTAAAATTGTAGAAATAACTTAAGTTACTTGATAAAAATATATTATAATTATGGCTTAGTTCAAAACTGTTTCTTTAAAATATTTCACATACATTTATAATTTCTTAATTTATTTTGTGAAGAAAAAAATTGAAATTCGTGTTGTTCGAAGAGACAAAAAAATTGAGATAAAAAAAGAATTAAATAATATTTGTGATTAAAAATCTTTTAGTTTGGTTAAAACATTTTACAGTTACTTTGATGGAAACATTCGAGCCAATCGATAGGACAGGTTGATTTAAAAACTAAACTGAAGGCCCCTGACTCTCAACATACTAGTTAGGTAAGATTTGTCTTAGTTCTTACAAGAAAACTTTGGTCGGTACTCATTAGGCAATGCTATCAATAATTCACTATCTTCACAAAGAACACGGAACGATGGCTATAAAGAAATAAAGAAAAAGAGATATATAAACGTCTCTCCAGATCTGAATAGATATTTGAGTATCTATCCTTACAGAACCTACTGATAGGATAACGAGTTAATTCTGAAATAAATTGCTTTAAGTAAATTATGTAGAGTATTACGTGTCCTTTAAAACACGATAATTAGCACATAAGAACGCAAGAGTACAATTTATATGTAATTAGAAAACAAAACACTCTATGTAAAGGGAAAATGTGCCCCAATGACGTCTGAAGGGAAAGACAAATAAGTTATAATAGCGTTCCAAATTGTATGAGATGTATTTATTGTGTCACAAACAGACATGTGCCGCAGCTGTAAAAAGGAATCTTATTAATTTCTTTGGACTTCAGTAGTTACTAACTCTGTTTGAAATTTTCATTTAGAAATGGAGCACTAAAAAACCCCGTCAGGGCCAGGTTTTTCATATACTGATTAAAATTTTTCTTAATAAATTTTCATTCATCCACTATATTTACCCCAAGGGCCAAAAAATTAAAGTAATACGACAAAATCACCTGTACAAGATAGTAAAATGATAGTAAAATGTGGATACACATGCAGTTAAACCAAGTATTTCATGATATTATTCTTCTATAGAAACCAAGTGTATTAAGGGGGAAAAAAGGTATCTTCAAAATTTTTATTCACAAAGGAAAATTAGGGAACTTACAAATGTACCTTATCTATGGGCAATTTTGTAAGATTTCATAGTACCGTCAGATTTTCTAGGAAAAAAACCAGTATACATAACAAGGGGATTAAAACGATATCAAAGTATTAAAAAAAAACATTTTTAATGAAAAATTTACAAAAAATGAATAAAAGTTGACGTCGATTTACGAGCTTTGAACTAATACTCCAGTCACTTTAAAATGTATGTTTGTGCAAGTCACTAAACAGTAAAAGAATCTCTGAAAACATCAGCATATTTTCCAGTGTTTTCTTAGCATTCGAAATGGCTGGTCCGTATACACATTTTTCTCCATGATTTTATTTCGCAAAAATCTTTAACATATTAAAGAATTGCCATCCATTCGCTTAACCCTTAATGCAGAAAATGTCGCCCAATTTAATGAATGTTCATTTTCCAACGCTTACTTTTCGAATCCAAATTGAAGGTCGATTTTTGGCACAAGATTAATTTTTTCTATTCATTTTTTGGTATTTCAATCTGTTCAAAATATCCTCCTATACGTGACGTGGCGGGAATGTTCATGAACTAATGTCTTTGATAAAGTGAATTGAAACAAGAGCGGGCTGGGCCATGAACAAATGTCCTTAATCAAGTGTCTGTGAGATGACTCATGAGTGATTGTCCCTAATCTAATAAACCATTTATTCGTGAATGAGTGGCCATATAAAAGTTATGTAACTCACGTGTGGGCCATTTCATGAACAAAAGTCCCTATACAAGTGAAGCCTCCTTGATCTTCAATGATTGATGATGATTTCCCGTTTTTTATTGAGCAGATATCGTCGGTAAAAGAAACACCTGAAAAAATAGCACGTTTTAATCACCTTTATTTCTAAGCGTTTCATTATGTTTGCTGGACAAAATTAAAGGACACTAGGATTTTTCAATATTTTTGGTACAATACATTTTAAAGCCCGGAGGCCTTTCCAATGAGACCAATACAAACAAGATGACCATGGGCCACAACGCTCATCTTAATCAATATGGCCCTGCTGTTCTTCATCAGCAGATTTTTCTCCTATATACTCCTGTTAAATTTGATCACCTGTTGTAGCCCCATCCTACCCCCAGGTGTAATGATTTGAATAAACTTGAATCTAAACTACGCGAGGATGCCTTCATATTAATATGACTAATAGGGGCGTTGCTGTTCTTCAGAAAAAGAGTTTTTAAAGATTTTTCCCCTATATATTCCTTTGTAAAACTTTGATCCCCATTGTGACCCTACCCTACCCTCTGGGGTCTCATGATTTGAACAAAGGACTATATTCGGTAATGACCAATATTTGCCCCCAAAATCAAACTTTGACGGAGAAATATATAATTATGTTCTAAAACAGGGGAATATCTGCAGACTTCAAATCACTGAATATTTCCATAAGCCATGACGCCATATGTTAGATATGACGTCAGAAAGATGACGTAAATTCAAAATTTCCATGATTTATACCGAAAAAAGTGTACATTACGTCGATATTTTGAGTAAAAGTCACCGAGCGCAGGTCTGCTCCAACTCAATATTTTGATATAATGTGTAGAATGATAATATCAATGAAATATGTAAATATTGTTCTTGAGCAGGCCTGCGCTCTATAAATTTTATAGTAAAAATTGAACAAATTTTGTCTATTTTTTCCTTTTTCTGAAAAATAATACAAAATCCGAATGGTTTTTGACGTCATAGAAACAAAAGTTGCCAATAATCTACTTCGAAACTATAAATTTTTTTTGTTAATTTAGATTTCTCAACAATATATACAATTCAGTACATTTCAAGAAATGTTCAAAATATGACTTTTGTGGGGGCAAAAATGTGCATATACCGCATATAGTTCTTTGAACCTAAATCTCTCGAGGAATCTTCCATATGAATATCACTAAACGTGGATTTTTTGAGAGGATTAAAACTTTTTCCCCTATATTGCGGGCAGTTTAAGGCTTACCATAGAATATTACACTGCACTCTGTGCCTTTTCTTAACCACCAACACATGATGTCATAATGGAAAATGACGTAAAGTCACTGCAAACCTGATCATGAGCTTTTATGACGGGGAGAATGTCATAAACTTTACCCCTTATTTTTAACTGCATGTGAAATTTCAGAACGCTGTAGCAAAATTCACGAGTCTTAATTGTATTTTTAAATCTTATATGTCCGAATATTTAAAAATACCTCACTTGATTACCCTTAATTAAAATTCAGCTTGTTCAAAATGCTTAGGAAAAACATACTTTTGAAATGCACACTGTTTTATTATGCGTGTACAAAAGAGTCTGGCGCAGGCGATTAATGAAGATTCATTTTAGATCTTTTGTGGAAATCTGCAGGAGTTTGTTCTCTAACTGAATCTTGCTTGGGAAAAATGTGAGATGGCTTTAGTTTTAACACAGATTACGATACTGTTTGGAAAATACCCTCAAATCTCGGTATAAGTTAAATTTCTCATGAAATATTTGTAACTGAAGTAAAAGTAGGACTTTTCCCAAGCACATCTCGAGTACACAAGGATACGATGAGTTCATTTAATATATAAACAAAAAGTTAATCATTAGTGTGATTATCGGCTGCGCCGACGAGATTTATGTGGAACACTTTAAAAAAATTACAAATGACTGTCACGTGAACAAAAAAGTCATGTAATATTTATACAAACGTGTTAATGGATAGCCGAGAGAACCCTCTATTGTGTGTACCTAAGTAAATAACTTACAAACATCGAAACCGACACCGTAATACAATATTATGTTTTGAACGCATTTTTTAAGCTTCGGGAAGCCTAAATATAGCTGCATATATATCCCTATGTAAAACTTGGATCCCCCTTTGTGGCCAACCCTACCCCCTGTGGTCATGATATGAACAAACTTGAGTCTACACTAAAACATAAAATTTTCCTCTAAGTTTCAACTCTTCTGGCCCAGTTGTTCTTGAGAAGAAGAATTCTAAAAGAAACCACCAAATTTTCACTAATTCTTAATTATCTCCCCTTGAAAGAAGCCATGACCCCTCATTTGAACAAACTTGATTCTCCTTAACCCAACGATTCTTTGGAGAAGTTTGGTTGAAATTGGCCGAGTGATTTGGAGAAGTCGAAAAGGTGGAAAGTTTAAAGACGGACAGACAGACAGACGAACGCCGGAAAAATGTAGAGCTCATTGCATTCCAGGTGAGCTAAAAAGTGACACGATTTTGACAATATTCCTCAACACAGGTCAATAATCCTTCGATTTGCTTTTGGGAATAAAAAAAATTGCTGACAGACAGAATTTTTTTTATATATCATTATTTAAAAATATAGATTTCAAAGGAAAATAATATACATTTATAGTATGAATCAATATTTTTAGTCATTTAGGCATCGTACATCACATGCCAATTAAATTAGCAATACACAAGAATTACTTGTTGCAGTCCTTTTGCGAGCTATAATAATTGGCATCGAACGATATTTCTTCCTTTGAATTAAATGTGTATTATTGCCCTAGGGGCGTTACCAATTTCACTGGATCTATATGAAGGGAATGCTGTCATGAATTTTGTCAATTTTTTAACTTTTGTTCCGAGGATAGGTTCATTGTTTTGCAAATTGATATCTCGTCTATTGTTACAGATTTCATTGTAACTGAATGGGTTTTTTGCCAGCCTGTTTGAAATTGCCACTCTCTGTCGACAAATTATCGCTAGTAATTTGCAACCCATCAATGTATCTTGTAAATTACAATAAGAAGCATGGTGTCATTGCACTGACCAAAAAAGAACATGGTATTGTGGACAAACTTAAAAGAATGAACTCATAAAAAAATTATGCCTCAACTTGGGAATTAACATGATATTTAATTTTTAACATTTATATGAAGTCATCTTTTTTAAAATTATGTTTCTTAAAAGGCCCCAGACAGTCCTCTAAAATACCTTTAACTGTCCTGCAACTTAAAAGTCATAATTAATTTGTGTCAAAGATATGCTTTCTCCCTCTGAAGAAGATATTCTTTAAACTTTCACAATCACAAGAAAATGGAGTTCGAATTTCATGCCTTCTATTTATAATATTTATTCAGTCAGAAATATCCAATATTTTTGTTCTTTAACCATTGTAACATGACTCTCTATGCTTCTGTAGATGTCGGGTATTTTATCATATACAAGCTACATGTATGTTTTTTTTTTCTTTTTAATATTCTTTATTCAGTCAAAAATAGAACTTGCCTTTAACTGTTAAATAAGTTAATAATTACAATGAATGCTATTTTTTCTATTGTAAACAACCCCTTTACTGAGACACTCCAATAAGTAGATTAAGTCTTAAGGAGAAACAATACTTAGATAGTAGGTTATAAATACAATGAAATATATGGAGATAACGAACAGTATTCAAGCTCAAAAGTCCATTAAACAATACAAAATAGGAGCAGAGCAAACACGGACCTCCAAAACATCAGAGGTGCATGGGATCAGGTGCCATGGGTGAGCATCCCCTGCTGACCGGTCACACCCGCCGTGTGCTCTTTGTCTTGATCGGAAAATAACGGAAAAATCCGTCGACAATAGAGTTACTGTGTTGGGCATGTTTTAGGCTTCAAAATGTCCATTCTGTCAGAAAGAAGAACTGATTCCGGGCTTAATGGCCCTCCAAAAAAGTTCTCTCCTCTCACAGAATGGACAGTTATCGGCCTATAACCATTACTTGGTTTCCTAATCGAGGAAATAAAACGTTGATCACGTATATTAACGACCTTTCATTATAGTGATACTTCGGGTAAATGACGGCTGCTACTTTATTCCTTCGTTCGCACAATTTTAAATTTACCTCTGACAGTCCGCTTTCAATATCGATATAATATTATGTGCATGTTTCAGAAATAATAAATATCAACATTGGACTGTTACTTCAACAAAAGAAAAACAATGCTATTACCCAACGAATAGCAAAGAAAATCATAAAATATGAAGATAACGAAGAGTATAATCAAAAGTCCATTGAAACAATACAAATTTGGAGCAGAGCAAACATGGACTTCTAAAAACACTAGAGGTGGGATCGTGCCAACTCCTGTCGACCGGTCATGCCCACCGTGTGCTTCATTATCGGGCAAACGGAAAAATCTGTAGAAAATTCAGGGAAATAAGGGAAGTTTTCGATAGAAAAGTTGAAGCCATCATGTTTATGATAACGTTTTGTTGTTAGGTTGCCATTAACGTCTTCCACTTGTAAAATATTCAAATATCAAACAGATGTGTCAGACTCTGTGGTGTCTTTTATTTCAAGTTCAAAGGGATATATCGAATCAAGATAGGAATAAAAATAAATATTGTTAATTGATAAAATGCCGTCGATATATCTAAATTGTTGAATTGATGGCCACAGAGAGACTTTTTCTTTTCATTAGAAAATTTTGAATAAAAAAAATTCTGCTTCATATGAATACAGAAAAAAGGTCTGCTAATAACGGGGCACAATTGGTACCCATGGGAATTTCAAAGATTATTAAAAGCCTTAATCTTCAATAATCACATACCTACTGTCAATCAGAAACTCAAGCATCTTTTTTATATCAACTTTGGAGTACTTGTATGTACAATCAGAATGTTTTCAACAGAATAATTCTGCAAATGACCAATGACAAGGTGAGTAAATTTACAAGTTCCATTTTTATTGAAAAAGCAGCTGTCTATGATGTCAAAAACTTACTAACTTACTTATCCTCCCCGTGCCCCGGAGGACGCATGAGGTCCTTCAACAAAGAACGCCACTTACGATGGTCGCTGGCAGCAACCTGCCCCTCCTTCCAGCTGCT